GAAGCCTCTAGAAAATGCGAAGCCTTTTGGAGACTTCGACCAATATTTATTTACACATTTTGCATTTTCACCAATCCGACGTTCAAGTCATTAAAAGATTTTGCGGTGAAAACAACCTCTCTTGCAATGCGCCTCAAATTCGACTTCGAAATCGTGGATGCTTTTTCAGCATGACTCCCGCAGGGTTCGGGAAATGTCACTTCTATCCACTGTGCCACCTTTTTAAAATTCGGTTATGGTACAAGTAAATGATGGTGTTCATGGCACGATTCGTATGCATCGACTCCTTGAAATTAGTACTGGCCATGATAATCACCTGCTTCACCTCTGCTCCCGTTGATCATCTAGTTGCTTGAACGGGCGCCTGTGAAGACAGCATTCCTCCCTACGCTAGAGTTGCCGAATGAGTTCACTGTGCTCGAGGGACACAATGAGCATCACACCATTCATTCAATACTTCCATCAAGAAATCTGACCATCGCTGGTCACTTAGGTGTTCGCTTGACATACCGTGGAATCCAGTCGGTAAGAGTGCAATCATAGTCTGCGTCAGCGTTTTGATGTACGCCAACGTTTTCGAACATTTTCAGGTGACCACTTTTTGAGCGTACGCCCAAGACACTGACGCAAAGTACGAACGCTTACTAATCGACGATCTAACCAGCGGTCGTCTGGAATAGCATGCGTGTCCAGCCCACCTAATCCTGGAAACCTTGGCAAATGCGGTTGCGTCCCCGATCCTTGGTCGCCAGCCGTATTAGTATCAGCCGCAATCGTTTTCTCGAGTTAACGCCCTTCCTTTCCGAATATGTTCGTAAAACGGGAGCCCAGCTATCATACACCTGATAGCGCTAATCAAGCGTACGGCTTTTTGCTAATTCCGTCGACAGAACAAGAACTTCCGGGTGAAACTAACTTCTCCTGTTTTCAGGGTGGTTATCCTAGCTTCTCGTAGCTGCTGTACATCTGACACCTGCTGGAATAATAAAGCTCGAAATGTGGATAGGACTCTTATCGCTGCTCTTTCTGAGCTCGATAAGTGCTCAAGATTTGCAGCAATGCACTCAGTGTATCCAGCAAAACCAGACGTAAGTTGCAGATTAGTTCGAATTCGACCTGACATGTCCTGTTTTATCACAGCCTCAAAAATAGTAGCAAATATCTCATTCGGTAAATTTTCATTTGGATGATATGCAGAATTTGAGAAGAAGACT